AGTTTTGGAAAGGTTGAGTTTGAGGAAGTGGAGTGACATCCAATATGTCGCTTAGTAGGCTAGCGATGCGGGTGGAAACTGAAGGGGTGAGGTGAGGGGTAGACAGATAGATTTGTGTGTCATCAGCATTGAGATGGTAATTGAAGCCGTGGGAGCTTATCAAGTGACCAGGGGAGGAAGTGTAGATGGAGAAGAGAAGGTCCAAGGACAGAACCTTGGGGGACTCCTACAGAGAGAGGGATGTGAGGAGGAGGTGGTAGCGTTACAGGTAACACTGAAAGAGCGCTGTGATAGATAGAAGGAGAACCAGGAGAGAGCAGAGTCGCTGAGTCCAAAAAAGAGTTTAGTTTTTTGAGGAGGAGGGGATGGTCAACCGTGTCAAAAGCCGCAGAGAGGTCGAGTAGTAGGAGTATTGAATAGTGGCCATTGGTTTTTGCAGTTAGTAGGTCATTAGAGTGCTTTAGTAGGGCAGTTTCGGTGGAGTGTAGGGGGCGAAAGCCAGACTGTAAAGGGTCGAGAAGGTTGTGGTCAGTGAGGTGGGAGCTCAGGCGATTGTAGACTAAGCGTTCTAGGAGTTTAGAAGTAAATGGCAGCAGGGAGATGGGTCTAAGGTTGTTCAGGTTGGTGGGGTCTAGGGAGGGTTTCTTAAGTATGGAGCCAGCCAGGGTTCCTCCAGAGGTTGCTAGGGGCTCCTTAAACAATGAGCTATTTCTGACTCTTAGATATGTTCCCACTGGCACCATTGATATTTTTATCTGTAAAGAGGTAATTCTTTCCAATGACTACAAGCATTAGGAGCATTCTTTCCACTGACTATCACTTTAATGTATCTTGGCTTGTAGATATAATCATTTTTAGCAGTGGTTCCCTGAGACCAGCAATGTATTTCTAGGGTTCCTCATTGTTGAAAAGGTTGAAAAAGGTTGTTGTAGAAAATTAATGTTCACAGAAATAAGGCAGTTAAAAGAAATGGTGCCATGTATACTTTAGCTAATACACTCCTTCAGGCAGAGGATGGCTCTGTTTATCCACAAGGCACTTTTCAATAGTAATACTTTTGAAGTGGTGTGCAATCTCGTCGGCAGTCGGCAGTGAGATTGCTGAAACGGCCAAATTTAAATTCATCTATGGCCAGACTAAGCAACAGTTATACAATTCAAGGGCCTAAGGGCTCATCTACACTAGCAGTAGCACTCTGAAGAGGGATAACAAGTTAATTGCTTTTCACCCCCCCGTCAGTTGGGGGGGGGGAGGAATAGTGCCCACCATCGTTGGGCGTCAGGTTGGGGGGGGAAGGAATAGATTCGCCCAATCGTTTGGCGTCAGTGGGGGGGAGGAGGAATAGGTGCCCCATCGTTGGCGTCTTGGGCACATGCAGTGAGAATGTGCTATGTTGCATTGCATGCAGTTGTGGCATAGCTCCATTCACTTGAACTGCCTGCCAGTCCTGATGGGGGAAATCTCTGCACTGCGGACACAGCATGTGCATACATCTATATGGCTCTATTTGCAGCCTAAGGGGGTGCGGTAAAGAAGTGACTCAGCCACTTGTTTCTACCTTCCTCCACTGCAAGTATAAACTAGACCTAAGTAAATAGATATAAAAATGATTGTTTAGGTGGGCACTTGCACTACACTGTTGTCAGAAATTCCAAACCAAGACTTTAGGTTGCACAAAGATTTCAGATGGTTGCGAGACATGTAGGCACAATCTGAGAATCCTTGTGCCAACAAATCAGCTGATCACCATTATGGTATGTCAATGCAGAAGGAAAAGGGGGGGGGGGGGGGGGGGGGGAGGAATAGTGCCCCTCGTTGCGTCGTTGGGCCAATAGAGTTATACACTGTTGAAGCCAGGTATGTCAGGGGAGAACAGCAGCAACTGGTGTGGGTTTTCTAGAGCCATACATGGATCAAAACTCAATTTATCTATGAGCACTGTGGTTGTACAGAAGCCGATCTACAGATCGACTTCAGTGCAACCACCCTTTTGGATTTTCCCCAATCAGCGCTGCAGGCTATAGCCTGCAATGCTGATCAGTGTGTTCGGAAGGTGGGGATGTCTCCCTACTGCCAGAATACAAATAGCTTAGCGGGAGGATTTCCTCATCCACGTTGAGTGTGTGGATGTTGAAAACTAGCTGAACAAAAAAAACTGACTAATGTATGGGCTGCTTAAAGCTGGCCATAATGGATTGATATTTGGCTGGTTTAGCAGGGACCGTCTAAATTTCTAGCCATGTATGAACACTGTGGTCGTACAGAAGTCAATCTGTACAACTTCCCTGTTAGATTTTCTCCATTCAGTATATTCTGATGATGGGGAAGTCTCCCTACTGCCAGAATACAATAGTTTAGTGGGAGGATTCCTCCCACCACATTGAATGTGTGGATGAGGGAATCAGTTATTTTCATTCAACCCACTAGTTGAACCAAAAAGTAAAAACCTGACTTATGTATGGACTGCTTAAAGCTGGCTATACATGGATTGAGATTTGACTGATTCAGCAGGAACCATCCAAATTCCAATCCATCTATGGCCATTCATGTTCAAGAGGAGTCCGCCTAGTAATCAACTCCTCTCAAATGGTACTGTTGAAAAACTTGTGTTGGATCAGCACTGATCAGTGTATTGTGACAGTGGAGAAGTCCTTGCTGTCAGTATACAATAGTGCAGGGCTGAGGATTACTTAATCCACCTCAAATGAGTGGATGGGGGGGGGGGGGGGGGTGTATCTGTTTTTTTTTTTTTTGGATCATCTCACTGGTTGATCACAAAAAGAAAAAAAAAAAAAAAAAAAAAATGATCCAACTATGGGGCAGCTGTACCGGTTTGGCCCATGTTCCCCAAACTACTGGTTGAAGGGCATCTCCCTGCCATCATAGACATAAGATTGGCTAAAGAAGCCAGTCTGGCCACTTGCCATCACAGGTCTGTATTATCTTACACATGTATTGTTATTCTCGGTTTATTTTGTACATTGTTACCTTGAGGGATACGCAGTGTTTTATATAAAACAATAAGTGATCTGAACACTGATGAATAATACACAACAAATAAAATGAAATCTGCATTGCATTCTCGCTGAGGATGTGGACTACAACTCCTAGGAGGGGTGTCCGATTACCGCCGACTCCACTGGCAGGCTTGGTGTCTCCTGGGATCAGCATGCACCATGTTGGTGATGTACCTGCCCTATGGAAGTGAATGCAGGAGGAATGAAGGGCTGGGCTCCTCTCCTTGTGTTTACATTCTGTGCCCCTCCACTGTCTGCTCTGTACATGGCAGGACCATCACTATGTGAATGTACAGAGCAGGGAGGAGAGTCCATCCCAGAGTCCTCACATTCACCATCATCACAGCTACATGCCAGAGCAGAGGAGTCTCCATCCCCACACACAGTACAATCATAATAATAGAAGAGTGTGGGAAGTGCCCTCAGCCAGCCCAGTCACGTGTGTTTTCCATGCTCAGCAGCACGTACACATGCCCATACAATGGCTCCATTTACCACACACGGATGAGCCCCCACAGGCTCCGTCTTACCTCTCCTCCCCCGGCATTGGCTGTTGCCCCTCATGGCCCCGGTGATGTGAGCTCGGCTCCTCCACTGTCAGCAGCTCTCAGCCGTATGAGAGGCGGGCACCACCGACATGTTGCTCTCCTCAGCCAGGTCCGGACAGCTGAGCCCCCAGCCGCCGTGTGTCAGAGTACCCGGGCACCCGAGGAATGTAGAGCTGACGACCCGCCCAGGGGAGGAGAGGAGCGGGGAGGGGGAGGAGCCTCCAGAGATGGGAAGTGCAGGGAGCGCACAGCCTCTGTTTACACACACTGGAGGCTCGGCTGTCACTGGGGTTAACGCTTTCCGTGCCGGATCATACTTAAAGCCCTCATCTAAAACGAGTTTTTTTTTCCCACTTCTTCTAACACTTCCTGCTTGGCATTCTATCCCCTTACATTGTGAAGCAACATATCCTCACATACGTCTTCCCTCCAGGTCCCTGCCTGCCAATCCAGCGGGGCGAATGGTACCCGAGATCACCATCCCCTGCAGTCCTCTATGATGAGTAGAGAAAAACAAACAGAGGCGCTTCCGGCCTAATGCATTACCTTCAAAAATGTATTCAATGATAAAAGCAGGTATTGTACTCACTAAATGACCGTACAGTCACAGGCACATCGTGAAAGAACCGCTCTGTCCACTCTGGACCTCCAACAGGCTGACGCGTTTCAAGGACTTGTCTCAGAGGTGGGAGGTCCAGAGTTCCCATTACGGACAGACACGTAGTGCGGATTGGACAGAGCGGTTCTTTCACAATGTGCCTTTGACTGTATCATCATTTTGTGAGTACAATACCTACTTTTATCATTTAATAAATACATTTTTAACCACTTGCTACAGGGCACTTATACCCCTTCCAACCCAGGCCAGTTTTCAGCTTTCAGCGCTGTCACATTTTGAATGACAATTGTGCGGTCATGCAACACTGTACCCATATGAAATCTTTATCAATTTTTTGAGACACGGCTTTATTTTGGTGGTATTTAATCACCTCTAGGTTTTTTATTTTTTGCTAAACAAACCAAAAACAACTGAACATTTTGAAAAAAAATGTTTTTTCTTAGTTTTTGTTATAAAATATTGTAAATAAGTGAATTTTCTCCTTCACTGATGTGCGCTAATGAGACTGCAGTGATGGGCACTGATAGGTGGCACTGATGGACACTGATGAGGAGGCACTGGTAGGTGGCACTTATGGGCATTGACATGCATCACTGATGGGCACTGAAAGGCAGCACTCATATATGGCACTGGTAGGCGGCACTGACTGGCACTGTTAGGTGGCACTGATAGGCAGCACTGACAGGCACTGATGCGCACTGATAGGCGGCAGTGACTGGCACTGATAGGCGGCACTGACTGGTACTGATAGGTGGCACTGATTGGCAGCATTGGTAGGTGGCTCTGACTGGCATTGATAGGTGGCACTGACTGGCACTGATAGGTGACACTGAAAGGCAGCTCAGATGGGCACTGATATGTAGCATTGATGTGCACTGGTAGGCACTGATATGTGGCATTGATGTGCACTGGTAGGCACTGATATGTGGCATTGATGAGGCACCGGAAGGTGGCATTGATGAGCACTGACAGCTGGCATTGATGGGCACTGACAGGTGGCACTGCTGGGGCTACACAGATCATCAGGGCACACTGATCATCAGTGCCCTGATGATCAGTGTAGATGTCCCCTCTGAGGAATGCTGATTTCCAGCTCTCCTCTCCTCTCGAGCTGTCAGCGCGACAGCTCGTGAGGAGAGAAATGCCGATAACCACAATTTCCCTATTTACATGCGATCAGCTGTGATTGGACACAGCTGACCACATGACCCAACCGACATCTTCGGCTCTTTCCGTTTGATCGGTGATCTGCTGTGTCCGAGGGACACAGCGCACCACGGATCGCCAGGCTGCACGCTCCAGGAGCCTTGCATGCGCGGTTAGAGTGGGAGGACATCATATGACGTCCTCCCAGAATGAAAGAACCGCTTTGCGCCCGTCATTACCTTATATGGCAGGTGGGAGGTGGTTAAGGTAATGCACTAGGCTGGTGCGCCCTCTGTTTGTTTTTCTCTGCGTAGTATATTTGGCCTTCCCCGGTCATTTGAGGGCAGCAAGGCATGCATATCCCAAGAAATTTGTGATGTGGTCCTATCCATACAGAGTCCATCCCTAAGCGCAGAAGTATCTGGGTTTGCCATTTCTTCACAGTCCTCTATGATGATGCTGTTCTCTTATGGGCGGAGCTTAATCAGTGTACCCAGAGTGTTTGTTACCCCAACATGTCCTATTCCTGATATGTGCCTGCTGTACTATGTACTTGTGTTACAAGGGAAGTATGGGATTTTTGTTATTAACCACTTGCCCTCCAGACGATCTCCCCCCCCCCCGCCCCTCCTAACCAGGCCATTTTTTGTGTTACGGCGCTGCGTTACTTTAACTGACAATTGCGCAGTCATGCAACACTGCACCCAAATTAAATTTATGTCCTTTTTTTCCCACAAATAGAGATTTCTTGAGGTGGTATTTGATCGCCTCTGTGTTTTTTATTTTTTGCGCTATAAACAAAAAAACGAAATTTTGAAAAAAAGCAATATTTTTGACTTTTTGCTATAAAACATGTGCAGTAAAAAAATATAAAAAAATCTAATTTCATCATAGATTTAGACCAAAATGTATTCTGCTACATGGCTAAAAAAAATCCCACTATGTGTAAATTAATTGGTTAATGTGAAAGTTATAATGTTTACAAATGGCGGTATATATACTGGAATTTTTTTTTATACTAGTAATGACGGCGATCAGCGACTTATAGCGGGACTGCGGTGGGCATTCTGACCAACTGCCACTGACATCCCCACTGACACTAATACAGTGATCAGTGCTAATAAAAAGCACTGATACTGTACTACTGGCACTGGGCAGAAAGGGGTTAACATCTGGGACGATCAAAGGGTGTGGTGTTTTACTGTGTTGTGTGTGTGTGCTTTACTGTGTAAGCATGCTGCTTTGTATTGCTCTGCTATGAAGAGCAATACAAATCAGCATGCTAGAGCTGATGGGAGAGATCTGTATTGTTTACATACAGAGCTCTCCTCTGCCAGTGTTCCTCGGCAATCTCCAGGTGCCAGCGGGGAATCTCTGGCCAGGACCCAGTAATTGACAGCTGAAGCCGCCAATGGCGGCATGGGTTGGGCAGCATGTGTGCGCACGCCTCCTACCCGGAGATACAAAATCACAAATATATACGTGGTTTTGCGCAGCCCTGACACCCTGTAGCAGTAGTTCTGCTATAAGGCGGTCGGAAAGCAGAGTCAGCCAGGGTTCCTCCAGAGGTTGCTAGCTGCTCCTTAAGCAATGAACTATTTCTGACTCTTAGATAAGTTCCCACTGGCACCATTGATATTTTTATCTGTAAAGGGGTAATTCTTTCCAATGACTACAAGCATTAGGAGCATTCTTTCCACTGACCATCACTTTAATGTATCTTGGCTTGTAGATATAATCATTTTTAGCAGTGGTTCCCTGAGACCAGCAATGTATTTCTAGGGTTCCTCATTGTTGAAAAGGTTGAAAAAGGTTGTTGTAGAAAATTAATGTTCACAGAAATAAGGCAGTTAAAAGCAATGGTGCCATGTATACTTTAGCTAATACACTCCTTCAGGCAGAGGATGGCTCTGTTTATCCACAAGGCACTTTTCAATAGTAATACTGTATATCAGGACTTACAGACCACAGAATGCCAGAGGAATGCTTCCCTTGGAAGGGGCTATGACCTTGCTTGGTCACACTGCAATCTCCAAATGTCCTTGTAGATATCCAGCTGCCAGTGGGAGACTGTTCTAGAAAACTGACATAGGAGACACCCTGTAATGGGACACCTACTTTTTTCCTTCCAAGACTGTCTTTATGTTACTTGTACAATGTGGGCACAGCGAATAACACAGAATCTCCTATTTATGGATTTATTTTGAGTCAAGATGGGTGCCCAAATCATGTGGGATTTTGGAAACCAATAGGGTTGCCATCCTATCCAAGATGGCTGCCTGGAGCCTATAGCAGGGATCAGTTAGTTCTTAAAGGAGAAGTATAGCCAAAGCTAATTTGGCTATACTTTTTCTGGGGATCACCAAGGTGCAGTTTGTTCTGCACTCCTGTGACCTGTTTTCAGCTGACAGATGATGTCATTCAGCCAGACCAGGCTCTAAAAAGATCCTAAAAATATGGCCGGGATCCACCCAGATGCCTGGACTGGCAGCTGGTTCAGCCTCTCAGCAATCTGCTGAGAGCCTGAGTCAGCCTCTCCCGCCCCCTCCACAGCATTAAAGGGGCAGAGCAGAGAGTCGGTGACTGGCAGTCCATAGTCACTGAGGGCTGAGCAATCAGTAGTCATTGATTACTCAGTTCTCAGTCTTAGAAGTTGTGGGGGTTAGCTGTAGCATTGGACCAAAGCTGCATCCACCTAGGTGAGTATAACCTTTTTTTTTCCAGTACCCATACTTTTACAGGCGTACCTCGGTTTATGACTTTAATTTGTTCTGCAGTACTTTTTGTATTGCGAACAATTCGTAAATCGAAACGTGGTTTCCCATAGGAATGTATTGAAAACCAATTAATCCATTCCGGAGGTCAGAAAAAAGTAAAAAGAAAAGTCTTTTATCTGTTCAAAACTCTTTATAAAGTGCACTTGAAGGCATAAATACTGTACAGGGACATGATTAAAAATTAATTCGTAAATGCATTGAAAACCAATTCATGAAGATGTCTTATTAAATACATGCAAGTGTTACATGTGTTGGAGCTGACTGGTATCCGATGAGACGGAGGATTTTATTACCATCTTAAAAGTATCCATTATATGGGAGGAGGAACAGATAAAGGAGATATCGTGAGGTCTGGATGTGTGGAGATGTCATATTATTAACACGTAGTTTTAACATGCGTTGGAGATGAGAGTTCTGTGAGCACGGAGTGGCACTGTTCTTAGCATGAAAATTCACATTCACCATGGAATTGTAGTTACGATGCCGGATCATGTGATGTTTGGAAACTTATGAACTCATTTATTGAAACCACTTTAGTATCTTTATTCATTCATTTATATTTATGGTCTATGTTCTTGGTCATTTATTCACATTATGAACATGAGCACAATTTATCCACCTGTATTTTTTTATTAGTACTAATTGATGTGCATTAGCAGCGCTACATCACCTTTAATTAATTTATCTTTTATATTTCACCAAACAATTGGGTATTAGATTGCGTTTTTGTGTATTAAAATTAATTTAAAGTGTTACTAAACCCAGGACCCTGCATTCACTCTGTCTGTTCTTCCACAGTACACAGAACATGGAAATGCAATTATTTTAGTAAATATAAACTGCTAAATACTTTTTGTTATTAGCAGTTAGAGCAGTCTTGTGACTTCTATCAGTGTTCAGCAGAGCACTGGTTAAAGCTTGTAGGAGGAGTTTTCTCTAGGAGGATGAAGAACCCCTGACCTCTGTCTGGACAAAGCTAATTGGCCCTGTGCTGATCACATGAACTCTCCGAAGAAAAAAACAAACCTCCCTAGCAAAACACACCAAATTGAGCATGTGCAGTGTCTACACACAATATGTTTTATCAGGAGATAAGAGGGAGACACTGAAGGAAGGGATGATCAGAGAAGTCAGGATAAAACATCCTTTTTACACAATGCAGAGGATTAACCCCTTAGGTTCCACAGCATGCAACACGCATGCTTTACTACAGTTTAGTTGATATTGTGGGAACACAATTGATGTCAGCAGCAGCACCTATTCATTTGTTTATTTATATTGTATAATAGGGGCAGAAGTTCACTCACTTATCTATCAAAATATAAAAGATGATGTTATGCCAAGTAAAGAGATACCTAACATGTCAAGCTTGAAAATTGTGCATGCACTTGGAATGGTGACAAACTATGGTGCTTAAAAATCTCCATAGGCGACACTTTAAAAACCTTTACAGGTTACAAGTTTATAATTACAGAGGAGGTCTGGTGCTAGAATGATTGCTCTCGCTATAATGTTTGCAGCAATAACTCACATATATGGTGGAAATGCCAGTTACATGTGCATGTGTGACCTAGATATGTGTTCACCCTTGCGCGTGAGCACGAGGGGAAATGGTAGCGCTTTCAAACTTGTTATTATTATCTATATTTTAATTTGTTTTTTTTTAATTTTACACTGTCCCTCTAATTTTAAAACATCCCTTATGATAGTGATAAGCATGACTGGTCCTCTTTACTGAGAGATCCGGGGTCTATTAGACCCCGGATCTCTCCTCGGCCCTTAAAAGCATCTGATCAAACCATGGCCTGTTTACATTCTGGAGAAACTGGAAGTGACAAATTACTCTTTGCTTCCAGTTTCTCATACCATAGAGATGTTTATGGAAGATCCAGTCACTGTTCAGCTCTATAGTAAGCCCTCAGAACCACTCTAAAAAAAAATCTTGGTATAACCCCTTAAATCTGGTGACTTACCAGTATGTTGTAGGGGCTGAATTGGTTAAATTCTGGGCATTATATTCCATATGCCCTTCGAGTAGACACTGCTGTGTCACACATATCACAGAGCCTGCCTTCTGAACTACAGAGGTGCTGAGAGGGGAAGTATCAGGAGGTGGAACCAGTATAGAAACCACTGCTTGTAGCCAGCAAAGTATCATGGGATATGTAGTCCTTAGCAATTGAACGAAAACAGCAGAGGAGAAGCTGCAAAGCATGCAGGGAATCCAGGAAGTTATGGAAAGAGATGGTCAGCAATTACAAGGGATCTCCTGTGACAAAGTCTATTTGGATGAAACGCGTCAGTAAGGAGCCTGTGCATGCTA